GGAAGAAGATAGGGATAAACTTCTGAATGAATTTAGAAAAGAGTTAGAAATATTGAAGAACACTCAGGCTGAAATGAAGAAGGAGGTGAAACATTCAATAAGTCAATTAGAAATAGCAGGAGAAAGCCTCACCAATGGATGAATGAAATAGAAAACAGAATATCAAGACAAGAAGATAAACTGGACAAATTAGATGACTCCAGCAAAGATTATGAAAAATTAAAAAAAAAAACACAAGACTGGAATATGTAAGAATTGTGTGACACCATAAAAGGACCAAACTTACACATCATAGGCACACAGGAAGGAGAAGAACCTCAGGATAATGGTATGGACCAGATCTTTACAGGATTGTAGAAGAAAATTTCCCAAAATTAAAGAAAGACAAGGACATAAAAATACAAGAAGCACATTGAAGACCAAATAGACAGGACCAAAAGAGAAACTCTCCACAGCACATCATAGTAGAAATACTAAACGTACAGAATGAAGAGAGAATACTGAAAGCTGAAATAGAAAAACAATAAGTCACAAATAAAAGAAAGCCTATCGAAATTACAGCTGAATTTCAGTTCAAACTATGAAAGCCAGAAGAGCCTAGACCAAAGTATTCCCAATTCTAAATGACCACAGACGGCAACCCAGATTACTTTACCCAGCCAAAATGTATATTGCAGTCAAAAGGGAAAAAAATTCCATGACCTAAATAGACTGAAAGAATTCATGTCCACAAAAGAAGCCATTCAGAGAATTGTTAAAGCAATACAAAGAGCTGAAGAAAGGAACAACTGTACCCAAGGGGTAACAGAAAGAAATTTAATGAAGGTATAACAGTGCAAATGTACAGTCACACCAAGAAGGTGAACAAAAATCAAAACAAGATGACTCAATACACATATTTCATTAATAACTTTCAATATCAAAGGACTGAACTCCCCAGTCAAAAGACATAGATTCGTTTAACGGATAAAGAAACAAAACCCATCTTTTCATTGTCTACAAGAAACACATCTCACTTTCAAGGACAGGCACTACCTTTAGGTCAAAAGGACGGAAAAAAATATTCCAAGGAAATGGTGCGAAGCCAAAGGCAGGAGCTTCAAATCTAATACCTGAGAAAATAGATTGCAAACTAAAACTGATCAGATGACATAAAGTGGGACACTTCATTCTGGTCAAAATAACACTTTACCAAGAAGATATTACAATCATGAACATATATTCACCAAACTCTGGGGCAACCAACTTCATAAAAACAGTACTACAAGACATTAAGATCCACATGAATCCCAACTCAATAAAAGCAGGGGACTTCAAAATGCCCCATTAGATAGGTCAACAGGACAGAAAACTAAAAGAGAGATATCTGAATTTAACAATACCATAAATCAAATGGACCTAACAGACATCTACAAAATACTCCACTGAAGCATGAAAGAATATACTTTCCATTCAGTGCCCCACGGACCTTTCTCCCAAATTGACCACATAGAGAGGCAAAAAACAAGACTCAACAAACACAAAAAGATTGAAATAATTCCATCAGACCACAATGCAATAAAGCTTAAAATCAACACCAGAAGAAACTCTGGTAACTACATGAACACATGGAGAATAAACAACACACTCCTAAATGATGAACGGGTCAAAGGAGAAATTAATAAAGAAATAAAAGTAGTCCTTGGACTCAATGAAAAAGAAAATACAACACAAAAAAACCTTTGGGACACATTGAAAGCAGTCCTTAGAGGGAAGTTTATAGCTCTAAGTGCCAACATTAAAAAATCAGAATGAAACCAATCCCCTATCTTTCACATTGCACAAAACTCAACTCCAAATGGATCAAAGACCTCAATGTGAAGCCTGAAACATGAAACTGTTAGAAGAAAACATTGGTAATAACCTACTAGATATAGGTGTAAGAAATGTTTTTTTTTTTCAACTGAACATCAATTGCTCAGGAAATAAAGTCAAGAATCAACAAATGGGAACTCATTAAACTAAAAAGCCTCTGTACATCAAAAGACATAACCAAGGAAATGAAGAGAAAATCCACAAAGTGGGAGAAAATATTCATCAGCAACACTTCTGACAGTTTTATCACCCAGAATATATTAATAACTCAAAAAAACAAAGAATCAAGAAAGGAAGTAATCCAATTGAAAGATGGGCTAAGGAGCTGAACAGAGAGTTCTCAAAAGAAGAAATAAAGAGGCTAAGAGTATCTTAAAAGGTGTTCAACATCATTAG